ACGGAGGGATCTGCGACAACCGCGGGGTCGTCCCCGGCTGCGAGTACGCCTGCGTGCCCGGCGCACCAGAAAATTCGACCCGGAACCGCATCTGCTTCTGTGCCCCGTCCCCCGGCTCGTCCAGCCGACACTTGAGCACACTCCACCCCGCGTACTCCTCCAGCACCGTCATCACGCCCAGCTGCGCGAGCAGACGCGTGGTCTCGCTTCGTGTGGCGACCACGTCGTTCGTCGAGTACAGCAGATACGATTGTACCTTCCAGTGGAACAGGTTCGAGAACCACCCCTTGAACTCGCCCACGACCGGGGAATTGACCAGCACCGCGGCGTTGGGGGGTGACGGGGGCCGCGGCGATCCAATAACCGAGAAAGTGGCCCTCTTCTGCAGCACAGTTGGGCCCTGCAAATCCATCGTAGCCGCTACAACAACCAGCGAATGGAGAGGGAAAGAAAAAGGGGACGTCAGCGACTGTTGCGCTTCCCGACAGACAAACTAAAATGCACTTACGTCGGCTCTTCCGCGCCTCTTTCTTGTGCTCTTTCCCAACAGCGCCTGGTTCATTGATAAATAGCATGTTCCCCATTTCCTTGGCCATAGGAACAGAGTGCCCGAATCCAAGCCCACCGGTGGTGTACGCGCCTTCAGCATGAGCCGATAGCCGTCTCCCCACGGCCGCAGAGCCTGCGTCCCAATTCTCCTTGTTCCCGTTCGCGTTCCCGACCACGCTGTAGCGCGGCACAGTCGTAGACGGTGCCCGCCTATGCTCGCCACGTTGGCCCTCGTCTTCCTGTGTCTGTGCCTGCGCGCGCGCGTTCCACGACGCCGCCTGCATATTCACCATCGTGGCATACTCGTCAAACGTGCGCTGAAGCGCCGCGTCGGGCACCTTCGGTGCGCTTATCATCGGCAGCGCCGCCGCTGCCATGGGCACTGGGGAGTGGATCACGTCCGTGAGCGTTCCCCCAAGTGAAGAACGGTGGTGCCCGTGCGCGGGCCCTGGCACAGCGGAGCCAGGCGGGGACATCGCGGGCCCGCGCACCATCGGCGGCGGGACCGCACGATGCTGCGGGTACACGAACATGTTCTGCGCGTCGGGGGCCGCGAGGAACCGCTGCGCTTCCTGCGGGTTCGGCGTGAACGTGCCTGCAGGGGCGACGTACGAGTTCCGGCCCGCGGCGATGGCGGACGCCGGGCGGGGACGCTGTGGGCGCGGGCCAATGGGCGAGGGGATCGAGCGAGAGACGGGCCGCTCGAGGGGCACGTCCGTCACGATGGCCAGAGCACGCGCATTCGGGGACTGGCTGCGCGGCGGGCCCGGGGCGACGCGGGTCGAGAGTGGGTACGGGATCTGCGACTCGGCGCCGACGTTGGAGTGCGGCTCGGGGTGCGTCTGCGCCGGCTTCTTGGCCGAGCGCGGCGCGGCGTACTGTTTCGTGACGACCTTGCCGGCCGCGTTGAAGATCTCGTCAATGTCCATAAGGATCCCGTGTTCCTCCATCGCCTTCTCGCGGTGCTTCTGCAGAAGAAAATAGAACGCTTTCGCGAGAGTGCCTCGGCCAGGGACGCTCAGCAGGTCCGCTCGGATACCCTCGATGTCTGCGTGGCGCCCCCAGATGACACAGAGAGACTCGAATAGGTCACGGTCGATATGGAGTGCGGAAGGCAGCGGCTGCGCCAGCTCCGAGACTGATGGCGCCGGAACATAAGTGATGCCCGGCGTCAATCCCTCGAGCCACGGGTGCGCCAATATTTCAGCCATCTAGGGGACGGTGTTAGGTGAGTGCAAGCAGAGATTTTCCGCAAACTCACAGATATTCTCCTCGAGACGTCAACGACGAGCATGCGCGACAGGAGGTCCTTGGCAAGCGGGTCGACGAAGCTCGGCATGTCATACTTGCCCAGTTTGACCTTGCCCAAGAGCGTCCTGACGTTCTTGTCGTCGAATGGAAGGCGGCCGGTGAGCAGGGCGTACAAGATCACGCCGCAGCTCCAGATGTCGGTTGCCGTCCCGCAGTACTTGTGCCCATTGACAATTTCTGGGCTGGCGTAGTGGGGGCTCCCGCAGCTGGTCTCCAGCTGCAGAGTAGGTGGAGCGAACGCAGCCATGCCCCAATCTGCAATCTTGATGAGCGGGGGATTGAGTGAATGAATTAGGATGTTCTCAGGCTTGAGATCACGGTGGATGATAGAAAATGTGTGTGCATAGTTCAACCCATAGATAATCTGCTTGAAATAGGCGAGGGCCTCGAGCGGGGGGAGCTTGCCGCGGTTGACGAGAAAGTCGAAGAGCTCGCCGCCCTCGACATACTCAAGGATGAGGTACAGCTCCATCTCGCCCTCGTACACGTCGTAGATGCGCATGATGTTCGGGTGGTTCATGAGCTTCATCATCGTGATCTCGCGGTCGACGCCGAGCCGCTGCTTGTCTGACTTGGCCTTGCTCGCGAGCGACGCGCGCGAATTCACGAACGGCTGCAGTGGCAGAATCTTTACAGCCGCTAGCTGCCCCGTCCGCCGGTGCCGCGCTATCTTCACGTGCCCGCTCGCGCCCTTCCCGACGCACTCGCCGATGACCCACGGTCCGACATACTTGGCGTCCTCGGGGTAGTCGAACGCGCCGCTCCCGGCAGCCGCCTTCTCCTTCTGCCAGCGCGTGCCCAAGGGGGTGTGGTACTTGGCTGGAGGCGCGCGAGGTGGGCTGTTGGGGGCTGTTGGAGACATTACGGTCGTGGGTAAGAAATACGGAGAGAAATTATACGAATATAGAATATAGTGATGTTAGAATATGTTGTTATCGTCGCCGTCGTCGACAAGAACAAGACGACCAGCCGCCAGAATGTAGAGGGAACCAGCTCGCCGCCGCGGAACTTGAACGGCGCGTGGCGGCTGGCAGCAGAACAAACAACGCGTAAACAAGGCATATCACATGATCGAGCGCTTACCCACATGACATGAGTTGCAAAGCCATCCACTGATCCGGATCATATAGGTAGCCAGAGAACAACTATGTAACGTAGCAGATCGCCAGATATATCCAGTACAAGGTCAGTATGGTATCATCGAGAAGACATTCCGCCTCAAATTGATCACACCAGTACGCGGTCATACCAGGATCACAGCGAGCAGCAGGGCCATCAGGATGATTATAAGGATGATGATACACCAGCCAGATTTTGTCTCTTCAGGTACGATACACGAGTGCGATCAATGCAGGTTCATCTTAATCAACCACAGCTGCGCACCTTCCGTGTGGCGAATAAATCGCCTCATTCTGTGCATGGCGTCGCCGAGTTTCGAGTCTGTGCGGTCTACGCCCTGCTCGATGTCACCAAGCATTCTGCGAATGAAGTAATCCCGTTAGATCACACCAACCCTGTTAATTACGACGACCATTCCACCAACTCGTTGTGTTCGCCGATTTCTCTACCCATCAGTCCCGCTTGCTGTGCAATAGTGCTGAGTGTGCCGGAAATGGTGTCAATTGTCTGGTCTTGCTCGCGAATCATCATCTACGCGATGAAGAGGTAAACGATCTCATCCGAGGCTTAAACCGTGAAACTCGCCTGTTGCTCCTGCCTGGCCCACTCAGACTGCTCGTCCCTTTCATCCGCAGGTAATGGCTGGCTGGCTCCACGAGAGATCTCTGCAGGAGGTCTGACCTGCGACTTTAGCCGGGTTCGACTTTCAGCCTCGGATTCGATTTCTGCTCGCATGCTCTGTCGTTTCCGGAGACCGTACGGGCATCAAATGAACATAAGTGTTCACAAGAGAAACGAAATATGAACAATCGACGCACACACCTCAAGCTCGTGCCGTACATGCCCGACATACCGCCTTCTCTCGATGACTTCCGACTCTTCCAAACCAAACATCCGCGCGCCTGTAGTTTCAACAATTCTGATGCATGAGAACAGGAAATTCGAATCAATACGTGTCTCGAGGGAGAATTGCGGCAGACAGACTTCACACTCTCCTCCAAGTCTTCCAAATCCGCATCCAAAGCCGCGAGGGTCGCCTTGAGCTAAACCGCCATAGTAACATCAATTTTGTCAATATCTCATGTACCAAGCCGCTAATATCAGGAAAACGCACCTCATTTCGCGCCCAACCCAGCTCCTCGCTGTCTTCCCGCGCAGTACTCCGGATACGCAAGTACGACGCACGCAGCGTGGACGCCGTCTGCAGTGACGTTTGTATTTCCTGCTGCACCGCGTCGTACGGGTCCGTAGACATTGAGATTATCTTGCAGCTGCACAATGGAGTCTAACGATGGGAGAGTGGTCGTTGTGCAAAAGGGCCAGTGGTAACGCGGGGAAACGCGTGGTAGCAATGCGCAGCGCGAGCTTTAAAATCACAGATTGGAGTATCCAAACCCTGAGGATGCTTCGAGAGAATATTGCAGAAGCTGGTATACGGAGAGATCCAGTGTCAAAGGAGTGTCTGCGGCCTGTGTGTTCGTTTCAGCCTGCAGGCAAGACTGCAGCTGGAAGGGGACGCTGAGCTCGGTAAGGAATTCGGGGACAAGGCCCGCAAGTCCGCGGCGGTGGCGCCTCCGATCCCCTGATCAATCGGCGCGCTCCCAGATCTCACTGTCATCCTCGGCTGAGTCGGCTCGATTGAGTCGTTGAAAACCAGCCATGCAAGCATATCCGCGTTCTGAAAGCAGAAGGACAGGCAAGTTGATAGAGAGACACAAAAAATACAATATACTATTATAACGTGGGGAAAGCAGTGATGCACAACTACATCCAAGTTCGTGTGACGCAACAAAACATACGCGCGAGTAGCGTCGGCGAGGAACGATTAAACGGACGAGATGCGAGGAGAAGGAAGGGGACCGTAAAAAGCACACACAAGACAAGATGCGGCACCGCCGATCGATGGTCGTACAGCGATAAATAATTACAGACAGCACAAGCACAGATTAGCGTCAGAGCGTCAGAGACTGTACACTATCCAGCAAGAAATACAAATCGAGGGTGGGAGGCGAGCAGGGGCACTATGCGAAGGGGCCTAGCGCCTGCACGCGTTCGACATCCGGCTGCAGCGCTCCTGGCCGGAACGAGCGAAAGAATCCGCCGCGGGACGGCACGCCCGTACGGCCAACATTAGCAGTAGGAGAAGGAACGGTGATAGATGGTGATGGGGGCAGGTCATCACGGTCATCCCCGTCGGTAGATTCACGGGGGTCGTCCTTCTCATCCTTCGAGGGAGGAGTAGTGGTGATGCGGAGTAAAGACGTATATGCTGCGCGAAATGAGACAAAAATAAATAAACTAAAACGTCCGACAGGGATAAAGATACTCACGCTGACGGCAGACTGGACAGAACCAGCCCTTCGCCTTACGTTTGCGTCTGGGATTTATCGGAATGACGGGCACGGGCTGCGGGGCATCAGCCTCGGAGCCTGGGGGCACGCCAGCAGTGTTTCCATCTGTTGCATTGCCGTTCTCACCGTTCGCGCCTTCCGTACCGGTGGTAGCATTTGTCTCGTCTTCCTGATGCACAATGTTTCCGCCAGCGCCAAATTCGATCATGTTGATTGCGCATTCTCTGCAGGCGACAAGATGACGGCAAGGTAATAGCACCACCTCGCGCGGAGAAGAAAGACAGAGCAAGCATTCCGATGAGGGCTCATCCTCATGAGGAGTGGCCGATGGTTCGGTGGCGGGTGGGTAGACGTGGGTATCGGTGGGGGGAGTTGTTGCAACTGGTTGCGATGCCGTTGTGGAGTTAGACGAAAGACCATAAATTTCATGCAGGTGGAATGAGTGGGGACCAATCTACAACAAAATTTGATAAATTTGATTTATTGACGCATATGTATAAGTACTTACAGTTGCTTCGCGCTTGACAACTTTGACGACCCACGGCCTATTGTCCTCCACGGGCACCCCCTCGATAACAGTCGGAGGGATGCCGAAACGTACTACATGAAGATACGTCACCTGCTCGTTGACCGATGGCAGCTCCTTGCCCTCCTCATCGAGCGCAGATAACCGGATAGTGACTCTGACACCAACGTCAATTTCATCCTTGTCATACTCCTTCGACTTGTCATCGTCTCCGTGAGAGTTCACTTCGGCATCGAGGACGGCTATGGCGGGACCAGCCACGGATCGGTCGTGCTCACGCTTCCGGAAATTGAAGTTAGTGAAGCGTTTCCTATTCCAAGCAGACGTGGCTGTATCAGAACTTGGGTCCACCACATGGTGCGATTCTGCATCAGCCCCAAATGATGCGTCCCCAGGGTTGTCCTTCTCGGCGGTCGGAGCATCCGGCCGATGCTCAAACCTGCCCAATTCGAGCGTGGCGCCTTCCTCCAGCTTGAGCGTCTTGCCAAAGCCCCCATCGACAACCGATTCGAAGACGAGGAATTTGGACATCCCAGATGCGTCGTACTTCCCCGAGAGGCGATGTTTCGGAGATAGGAGCACCTGTACGCTGATCCCACACTTGGGGGCGTCACAGTCAAACTCGAATTCGAGGCCATGGTGGTGTTGGGAGTCCGCGTGATTAGGGTCGTCCGAGGGGCAACCTCTAATGGCGTGAGTCGGAGAGTGGGACGCTTCAGGTTAACAAGAGCTTGCAACGTAGTAGTGGACAGGTTATTCTGATAATGAGAATACATCATGCACACTGACGCGGTGGAAGACCATAAGCGTACGCACCTCCTTGCTCTTAGAGATCCAGCTCTTCACAATCTCCGGTGTGAGCTCATCAACGCTTTTCTCGTGTCTGTCAGCCCACTCAGGGCCCGCATTGACGATCCCGATGTTAGGGCCGAAGAGGGTGTCTGACTTCTTCTGGCTGTCGGTATGCTCGGGACTTGCGACGTCGCCCATGTTAATAACAACGGCTTCTTGCGCCATCTCTGTTGCCCTGCGAGACGCCCTGGTATCGACGCGAGCGAGGAATGGTTGCTGGTGGAGTCGGCGGGTCCTGTTCCAAGTGGAATACTGGTTATTATCTGAGGGGGGCAGTCAGCGGTCTGAAACGAAAGGGGTGCTCGTACCAGACTACGGCTTACACCATGCGACAATTGCTGCCATCGTCCGGGGCAATGGTGAAGGAGAGGGTGAAAGAACAGGAAACGATGGTCGCCGGCGGGAAGCGCAGCTCTCTATCTCCAGTCTTTTATTTGTCATTCCGAGCACCACTGGCTTTCCAGGAGTACCCCTGACAGTCTCCGCCTCTCTCCGTCACTTCGAGTCACCTCTCGGCTCAAATACCTTGGCAGGAAACCATCGAATGCGGAACAAATGTGACACAGAGCCCACAGGCGCTGGTCACGATGAATATCTGGCAAATGTAGCGCATACAATCGTACTATTTGGGCTGTTTGGGGTCTCAGCGTCTCCTCTCATGCTCCCGACCACAGCATATTGCTCCCGCTGCGGAACGTGAGAGGTCTGTCCAATGACCATGCGGGCTTTCTGCCAGCCAGAACACAATTGCTCGACCTGCCATCCATTCGACAGCAAAGTGCATAACGTTACCAAGCCCAGGACAGGAGAATATTAACATCTCTCATCTTCAACCGCGACGGTGTCGCATCAACTTTGGGGCGCAGATAGAACTTGCCTTTCGAATATTCAGATCGGAGATTGCAGACCGCAGTCAAAATGTCCCATGGTGCAATTGCGCGATGATACAGCATAAATGGCATAGGAAGCCGCGCGTGTCATGTCATGTGCATGTGGTGGTAAGTGCTATATGATGCCAGATGATAGAGAGAGAGAGTAGATGCACTAAGCGATTAGCTTCACAACGCCACCGGCTTCCTTGATCTTGGCCCTGCAGGTAACATATGAGAATGTTTCCAATGCTAATGCTGCTAAGATACACATACTCTGCCTTGGCCGATACGAAACGAGCTTTAACGATGAACGGCAGCTTCGGCAACCTTGGGGGGATGTCAGTAACATCATTGCAACAGACGAATTCGCCGTGCTCACTTTCCGTTGCCCAACACCTTGCCGTACCCGTGTTGGAGGGTATCAATTACAGGAACAACCTCTGAATCCTCCGACAAGCCCTGCTTCTCCTCCTCGGGTACAAGTGTCCACAGCTTGTCCACGTTAATGATCGGGCGCCATTGCAAGTTGCGCGTCAGATGGAAATGGCGCATACCAACTTTACCGAAGTAACCAGGGTGGTACTTATCGAAGTTGGTTCTACATAACGCAAGGGCAAACGGTGCTTTAGCTCACGCTGCACAGAACAAGGCCAAGTGACGTACCGATGGTGGTGCTGACCACCAGCAAGACCACGACCTCCAGGGTGCTTGCGATGCTTTCCGACACGTCCATGACCTGCCGAGACGTGGCCGCGGTGCTTGCGAGTGTTGGAGAACCGTGTCGGCATTTTCTGTAACCAGTCCCGAGGTCAGCATCATCCACAGTAGGTCCAATGCATCCAGCGGCGTCAACACTTCATTTCCCGGCAAGAAGACATTCTACGGGAAGCTGAAGGGCTGCACATTACACTGACAAGCATCTGGACGTCATCGATGGGGCATACTGACCTTGAGGAGGGCTTGGTTGAGGATCTAACGGCGAGGAATTTGTGTTTGACCGGATTCGGTTGTGGCGGGGTATTTGGATTTATTTGCACTTGAGGGTTTGCTGATTAGACGCTCGTTTTGTCTTCGTTTTTGCTTCCTACGCATACCGTCTCTTCGTTGGTGAGTTCGTTCTCCTTGCTGTCTCACCATGATGTTGGCCGTAGTGCCTTTATTTATTGTCAATGATTCACCATGATCACAAAATGTGTCCTGAATCTTCAGCTGTTCGACAGGTTCAGCTGACCTTGTGCTGACTGTTCTCTTGCAGGTGAGTCCGTTACCCGTAGGTGAGCAGTCAGCTTCCCCCGTCCTACATTCACCATGAAGACAAGATAAAATCTCCTCACCTGTCCAACTGCTGTTCATGACGTATCCTCTTACTCATGGTTTTACATGATCGCATTTCCTGTTCTCCATCACAACACGTTGGATTGACTACATCGCCCTCATTACTCTCGTGTAGACAAATATGAACGCGCCGAATCGATATGAGCTATTCGTTCTGGAAGAGGGCGAAAGGGCCGTGCGTGATGCGCTCCTCTGGTGCTGTGCCCACCCTCACGACCTGTCCTTGCCGTTATGCAGCGTTGAGGTAACTGAGGACACGAAGATCCCGAAACGCTGCTACCATCAAAATCCTCAAGCAGGACCACACGCTGGGCAACATGATTCGCGCGTACGTATCGTTCTCTATTCTTTGCACGTTTGGATGCCGTACCCACGCTGGGCCACCCACCAGCCAATTACTCTCGATGCCACAAGTCCTCTTCGCCGGCTACAAAGTACCGCACCCGCTACAGCCGCATTTCCTTATCAAAGTGCAGACGGATGGGTCCGTCACGCCTGCGGTGATTCTGGAGCAGGCGTGCACGAAGCTCATCGGCACGCTTGCGTCGCTCGAGACGAAGTTCAAGCGGGAGTTTACGTTCCGAGACGTGGACGGCGCCGTCGCGGAGGACGCGTATGGCACCGTTACGACGGGAGGTGCGGGGTGGACCGAAGGCAGGGACTATCTGGACTTCTAGATTGCGCTGGCTGCGAGGTTATTGTAGTACTGTAGCATTCATACCATAACCGATGTATCTCTACTAATTCGTCTAATCTACAAGACATGTCACATACCTCACTTACCTGCGGGACTTCGTTCAGCCGCCGATCATCGATGTATCGATGGCGTACTTTGGCTTGTTGCCATCTGTGTACAAGATCGTTCAAACCTCATCGTCCGCCCTCTCTAGCGGTGGCCGTCCGTCTACGTTTGTAAGGTGAGAATGATCTGCAGATAGCGTAGCTTCTCAAAGCGCTTGCTCCTGCTATTTATATGAAGCAGATCGACCACGTGTGTGAACGTACGTGTGAGAATTCTGCCACCGATATCTGAAGTGTCAGACAGCCGCTGCTCACCGCCACCAGTGACAGATGGCTTATCTCGGGGCAGTGGCTTCAGGAATGGGCATTACAACATCCGGGTCCATGCCCGTGATCATCCTCATACCAAGAGTAAGCAAGTTAAGTCCGAATTCTCAGTGTAGCCGAATTGACCGCATATTTTCCACGTTGAAAGGGGAAATTTTGCGGTTGACTCACCGCGATTATTGAAAGCCCCCTCATGCAAAACGGCGTCAATAGTAACACGGCATTGTCTCAGATGCATCCAAATTAGACGTCACTTTGGACGCTCTGGCTTGGCATGTAGGGACACCCTATTTTGATAATGGCCTCTTGCGCGGGGCAGTTTTGCCGTGGGACACTTTCCTCATATTAGAGGTCTTTCCTCTCGTGCGGACTGACCCTCTTTCGTGGTCAGGAAACCTTAATCACTGCCTGCGCAGCCAAATGCACCTACATGCGGCCATTGCCCGTAGGCTTAGAGGTCATCCCATCACAAACGCCTGAAATACCGCAGCCATAAACGCCTGAACGGCGCGCCAGTGTCTACGAAAGCATCAGTCACCTACTCCAGTGCGGAAGGTGGGCCGTGGATTATGATCCTGGCATCTCGCTTCTTCTTCCGCGCTGAGAGCCTGAGCCTAGGAAAAATATGGGCGCGATCTTCTGTCGCTATTGCCCAGCGCAGGTATCCTGGCGGCATTGTCATCCGGAAGGACACACAGGAAGTGATGAAAAGTCAAATTTTCTACTATTGCGCGGAACCATAGACTTGAAAAAGTATTATCTTGCATACAGGTTACGGCCGAATCCCCCAGCATCTGAAGAAACTTATTAGCTGATAGTAATGCCAGGAATCGAAAACTTTATCGCAGCGAGTAAAGCGGGGATATCACCCACTGATATGTGAGTAGTCTCCTCCAGACTTCGCACAGCGGAAGATATCATGGCGCTCCGGCGGGGACAGAGGCACCAGAGATATGACGGTGTTTCAGATTTCCTGGGAGTTGGTCCGATGTTGGACGAAAACGTCGTCCATTGCATCGTCTGGTTGCTAATGCTGGTAGTGGCAACATGATATGGCGATGCTGGACGAAACAGCCACGACTTCGAAGCCTGAAAGCCGCGCAAGCTCCAGAGACAAACCCGTGAGTGTGCCGGCACTGCAAATGAACAAGACAAATCGACTGCGGACCATAATTTGATACAAGCACGAATTTGGCTAGGTTTCTTTAATTTCTCTGTCATGGTCAAGGACAAAATAGTCCTCTTCGCGTATATTTGAGTGTAGCTACTTGAGAATTGGGGCTCAGGGGTTGCACGAACCGGGTCTGGTATGT